TCTAGTATAAATTCTACCGATGAAACAAATCTCAAAGAAGACCATATCAGACAAGTCCTACGGTAGTATTAGATAACGCAGTTAGAACTTTGGAACGTGATCAACGAGATTTTATAAGGGCTTCATTTACAAGACTTATTATATTTATCTAAAGAGTCGAATCTATCTTTCGCAGTATACAGTATATCTTGGCTGCACTAGAATAAAACCATACTTTAGAGCAAGGATTCTGTTCCCAGAGCTAGGTTTTTTACTATGATTTTGTCTTTGCTTTCACTTTCTGTGAAGAGTTTTATTTATCTTTGTTTTTCGCTTTACATTTAATGGAAAATGAATAACTAGGTTCACAGCAAAATGCAAATCTCATCCTCGAATAAAATTTAAGAAGAGACGTATTTCAATTATTTGGTTATGTGTTGTTTAGGTGAGAGTATAGTATTCTACAGATTTTTCTCTTTAGTTACAGACATTAGTATCGTCAGCATAAATCGATAGTCACATAAAATTTTAACAAAAAAATTTAATAGGTTTTTTTTTTGTTAACAATTTCTATACATTCGAAAAAATAATATGCATATTTTTAAGGTAAAAAAATATCTGTAAATATATAAAACGTTTTTCATGTTGTCAAGTAATTGATAATTATTTTTTATTTGGTTGAATTAAAGTAATCTCGACACAATTATATGACGAAGTTGTAACATCATCAATAATTTTGACCAAGTTATAACTTCGATAGGACATATACATCAATAAGCCATGCATATAAAGTGATAGAATGAAAAAAAATTTTTTTTCTTGTTTCTTCACTGTAAATTATACTTGAAACAATAGGGGCTTATAATACTAAGAAAAAATAGTTATTGTACAATGAAGCACATCACTTTGTAGTGTTTTGTTCAAAATAATCTTAAGTTTGATTTCACTTTCTAAAAACCAAGATTATTGGAAGATCTATATAAAATACTAATTTTAATTAGCAATTAATATGTCGCTTATTTAATAATATCTAAGAAGCAAAGACATCATTCGATTCAGTTTCATTTTCTCTATCGAATAATGTATTTTGAGTTTGATTTGCATTCTATCGAATCTGACACGTTTAGGTTCTCTGTAAAACCCACGGGGCTTCAAATATTTTGAAGTTTTCAAAGTTCTAAGAGTATTTTTTTTCTGTTCTAATATACATCAGTGTGTAGAGAATTCTTTTTTCTATCAAATGATATATAACTCAAAATATTTCAATGAAGAATAAAGGTGCTATAAAAAGAAAATTCCAGGTGTTCAAAAAATTTCTTTTTGCATAGGATATCAAGCAGTTTATAAAAAACCTTCGAAAACTTTATGGAAATCTTTTCAAGAGATAATTGTTTTTCGTCAAATAAAGTAAAGACTTTGATCTATCAAATGGTATAATCAGAATCGAGAAAATGTTTTTTTTTCTTCTTTGTGAAATTTATTTCACAAGATAAGTATTACAGAGTGTCCAAATAATTATTTTACATATTGTATATCATTACAAAATTCTCTTACACATCTCTGTTCGCTATCTTTATCAATTTTCTCTATACAAAAATTGTATCTCTTCTGAAAATGAGCTATAGTTCGTGCTTCGTGGTTACTATCCATTGTATTCCTGCAGTTAAAAACCGTTGGATGAAGTTGTAAATATTTGTAGAAAAAGTCATGCTTCCTTTCTTTATGTTGATTTTACTATTTATTGGTTCATATTCACCAATTTGACTGACGTCATAGTAAACAATCAAACATCTACGTCAAGAGTAAGCCAGCAGCATGAGTCATGTCCTTGTTTTCACCGAATGAGTCATTTTTTATAATGTTTACCATTATTAATTGATAATGAGGAATTCAGATACATATTATAGACAACCACTTTGTTATATTAGGTTTGCTTATTTAAAGGAGAGGCTTGCAGGAATAAATTCCTATGTTCAATTTAATCTTGATGCTTAGCGGAGAAAAGTGGCACGAGCAACAGTCTGTCAAGGGTGAATTTCTTAGTCATTTTAGAGTTTTCATAAGATGAAAGGTAGACAGTTATCAGAGACACGAATTGCTCAACATCAATTCGAAGTCATTCGATTTTAATTTTATTTAATTCAAGTATTCGTCGTCAGTTGAGACGAATATATCAAGAGTGGAAATAAAATATGGATTAAACTTTCTCTGTTTTAACATTAGCTAACAGTGACTTACTGAAGCATCTTGTAATTCTGTTTTAGATAGAAAAATAGAAAGAAAAGCTAGATTTGATCGTTGCTATTCTGCATGAAAATAACTCAAATATGGACAATCAAGGTCTTGAAAGTGACGAGCGGCAGCTTCAGCGACAAGTCACCCTCAGTGTCCCTAAAAACTTATACGAAAGACGACAAAGTACGATTATCGACCTATGGGCTACTGTGGACAAATCACGGCTCGAACAGGATGTCCACATAATTCCTCTTGAGGAGCTGTTTGGGCGTTTTCGAACAAACCAACGTGATGGCTTGTCATCTACTACTGTAGCAGATGCACAAGCTCAATACGGTCTAAACAAATTAACTCCACCGAAACCACCAAGCTATGGGTGGTTGCTCTTCAAACAATTATTCATGGGCTTCAACACTATTCTCTGGGTTGCCGGTATTTTTGCTTTTTTAGCTTATAAACCGTTTGGTGAACCAGCACCATCGATAACGAACTTAGCACTCGGAGTTATACTTGTATTGGTCATTACTTGTAATTCTATTTTGAACGTTTATCAAGAAATTAAATCGATAAAAATTGTAGCATCCTTTTCGAAACTGTTACCAACGATTGCTACAGTTCGGCGTGATGGTAGAGAACAACAAATAGTTGCCGATCAAATCGTACCAGGTGATGTTATTCTCATTCGTATGGGTGATAAACTACCTGCTGATTGTCGATTTCTAATGTGTGATGGGCTTAAAGTAAATATTTCACTGATGCACTGTATACTTTCATAATATAATTTTATGATTTTTTTTTCAAAAAACATAGATCAACACATCAGAATTGACTGGTGAATCGAAGCCTGTCACGTCAACAGTTCGATGTACGAGTCAAAATTTTATGGAATCAACTAATATTGGCTTTTATTCGTCAATGGTCGAACAAGGTACCGGTGAAGCAGTGGTTATTGCCACCGGTGACAATACTATTTTGGGCAAAATGTCACGACTGACACGCGGCGAGTCGGGTGATGAAGTCACCGGTCTACATCGCGAAGTCAATCGTTTTGTTTTATTCGTTGTTATAGCCACTGCTATCGCTATTCTCATTCTGTGGATCACTTGGGCTGCATGGCTCAATAGAGATCATCACAGTTTTGTTACCTACAATGCAAATATTGTTAACTCCATCGGTATGGTTGTCGGTTTTTTACCTCTGGGCTTGCCATCGGCTGTGACTCTTGGTAAGTGAGAAATAAAAGTTGCAGAAGTATTCAAGTGTAACATATTCCCTTTGATGGACTTTGATCACGCATTCCTGATTGGTAATAATATTGTTCTATTCCTTTACTGGAAATATTCTCTTTGTATCAGATAAAAAATGACTACAGTTGTGATTACGTGAGCATCAAGTCTTTCTCGAAATATCAGAAATTTCCATTGTTTTAGAAGAATAGTGTTCATGCATTTCATACACTCCCAGGTCGAAAAGTTTGACATAAGATCTTATCATCTACACGTAAGATTTTGCAATATGAACGAAATCTTACAAGAATCTGACAAAAAATCGTCGTCTCAGAAATCTTGCATCAGATCATACTACATTTTCTTTAGAAGACCTTACATTCACTTTATTTTCGCTAATACCTTGTAGTAATATTTTAAGGTGATATTAGTTTAATCAAAATATTGCAGTGGTATTTCATACGGAACAGAATCTTTCAAGAATCTTCTAATACGGTCTTGTGTAAGAAGTCAGGGACGACGATTTTGCGTAGGTTTTTGTTTTGTCTGATCTTATCAGATCAGATATGGACAGACATAGAATCCTTGTAAGATCTTCCCATCCAATTGTTCAACCTGGGCTGTTATATTAGTCTAGTTCTGTTCCATAGGACTACCTGATAAGAGGATGTCTAACATTTCATATGAAATCATCATATTCGAACAACGAGTTATAGTGTTATCTTTGGTTTTTCTATTCAGTATTGACAATTGTGGCCAAACGAATGTATCGACAACGTGTGTTAGTCAAAAGTTTACAAATAGTCGAAACTTTCAATTCAGTTTCAGTGATTGCTACTGATAAGACAGGTACATTGACGCAAAACAAAATGACAGTCACTCATCTGTTATGGGACACGCGTGGTACCTACAAAGTACCTGAACCGCAACCGCCACCGGTCGCAGAGGAGACTCTTTTTCAAGCGATTCGCCGTTTATCATCTGGAGCCATCAATACAGCTCGCCGTCTATCAATAGGAGTCGTGTCAGTTGCGCGAAGATTGTCTAGTGGTATTATCAATCAACCACAACGCATGATGTCGTTTAGTGATGATAATGAAATGCAAATTATTCCGAGCATAGCAAGTGAAGTTCAAGTTGAAGCATTCAAAGATCTTCTGGTCGGTGCTGTTCTCTGTAATAATGCCGAAAACCAAATAGTACAAGATGCACAAATTGGACAAGATATATCAGAAATGAAATCCGAATTACGTCTTGTGGGTGACGCTGCCGATACAGCTCTCTACAATCTATGTGTCGATCGATGTTATGTTGATATTGATACAGTGCGCAAAAACAACCTTCGTTTGAAAGCATTACCATTCAATTCATCTAATAAATTTATGGTTGTGGCTAATGAACTTGAATCAAATGATCCGTCTATATTGGAAAGCGAACGTACCGTTTTGATTACAATGAAAGGTGCACCAGATATTGTCATCCAACGTTGTTCATCATACAAAATCCATAAAGGTGTCATTTTGCCATTAGACGCCGACATAAAACGAATAATGTTTAATCGACAAGAAGAACTAGGTGAGACAAACAATATTGCATAGAGATTGAGGTTTTTTCCGAGTCTAAATATTTTTAGGAAAAAATGGTTATCGTGTCATCGCCATGTGTCAACAGAAAGTTAGTCGACAACAGTACGATCAAATGATGGAGCGATATAAAGAAGAACAACGTTCGCAATCGGCTGCCGAAGATTTGAGTGGATTTCCATCGGGTGACTATTGCTTCATTGGTCTCTTTTCATTACTTGATCCTCCTCGAACGGAAGTGCCTGATTCCGTTCTGAAAGCTCGTCGTGCTCAAATTCGTGTGGCCATGGTCACTGGTGATCATCCAACGACGGCCAAAGCGATTGCAAAGCAAGTACATATTTTGACACCAGAAATTGCAGAAATGAACGGTGTGGATACGTTTAAAATGGGACATGATGATAAGGGTCAACCGGTTCTCAATTTGTATCGAAACGAGAAATTATTGAAACAGTACGTACCTGGTCAAGCAACACGAATTGATCCAGAGAATAAAAATGCCCGAAACATGGTGAAGCAGGCTGAAATTGATGCTGGTGAAGCTGAAGCTGAACCACCGCCACCTTGGTACAAGCGAGCTTGGGCATCGTGTCGAAATCAATTTAGTGAACCGAAATCGGATCTTCCACAAGCAACGAAAATGGAATATATTCCCTATGCAATTGTGGTAAGTGTTTATTTTCTTGTTGATTCTTGTCTAACATTTGGAAAGAACAGGTTGCCGGTTCAGAAATCGGTCTTATGGACGATTTTATGTGGGATTGGGTATTGTCTCATCAAGAGTTGGTCTTTGCACGAACGTCACCTGAACAAAAATTGCGCATAGTTGTGGAATTTCAACGACGTGGCGAAGTCGTAGCAGTGACAGGTGACGGAACTAACGATGCACCAGCACTTAAGTGTGCTCATCTCGGTGTAGCCATGCAATCTGGCACAGAAGTATCTAAAGAAGCTGGCGACATGATTCTACTTGATAACAATTTTGCATCGATCATTCAAGCCATTGAAACAGGTCGATTATTGAGTGATAATTTGAAGAAGGTGGCCATCTATTTGTTACCTGGAGGTAGGTTGTTTTTTTTCAGAATATGTTATGAGAATAATTGATTACCACTCAGGCTCGTGGTCGCAAATTTGGCCTGTTTTCTTTAATCTCTGGTTCGGCATGCCATTGGCTCTCTCTGCTTTTTGGGCTACAATTTTCTGTATGCTGAACGGTATGTTAGGACGCCACTCATTTTGTTCTTATTGTTCATTCTATTCTCTTTTCAGATGTATTCATGTCCCTTGCCATGGTTACAGAAAAGCCTGAACGTGATATCATGTCTCGACCACCAGCGATTCGTGAGAAAGATCATCTACTCAATCTAAAATTGCTCGCTCACGCTTATTTATTGGTTGGAAATTTAGAATGCTTCACTGCATTCTTTTGCTTTTGTTACTATTGGATTGATAATGGCGTGCCTTTCTATTCATTCATGTTTACTTATGAAAAATTCGGTGTCGATCCTCCCCTTAAATATACACCGGAACAATTAGTACTGATGACTAATTCGGCACAATCAGTTTACTATTGTTCAATGTGTCTTTTTCAATTTTTCAATTTCCTCGCCACACGTACTCGATATACATCGATTCTCGAACACAATCCAATTTGGGGTAAAGGTCAAAACTTATTCATATTCGGTGCAATGCTCATTTCGGTCGGTATTCAATTACTTTTAACACTTGTTGGTTGGTTCAATCGTGTGTTTGGCACAGGTCGAGTGCCAGTCAAATATGTTATGCCAACGCTTGGATTTGGCATGCTCTGGTTGATAATTGATGAGTTAAGAAAATATTGCGTACGCAAATATCCACGTAGTATTATTGCACGACTTGCTTGGTAAAAGACATGTATAATATTTTTTTTTCGCTTTTTAACCAATCTGACTATATACCTGGGTTCTGGGTTTTCATTATATTAATATTCTAGCCAACAATTAATTTAGTTTTCATTTCATATTATTTCGTCTTTTTATTATATTTATTATTAAAACGTAAAAACAAAACATTTTATGTAATTTTTAAAGTCATGTTTTAGTTGAACTTCATGAACAATTCGATTTTAGAATGTTAGGAGTACATTATGGTTTTGTGCATTTCTCAAATGATCAGCAGATATCATGTTTATACTATGGGCATATACTATCGAGTGATTTCTAGTACTCATTTTCGTATGTTTTCCTTTCGATTTGAGTTTCAAGTCTTTTTAGTAGTAATGTCCATTCAGAGATGGGTAAGTCATTTGTTTTTGTATCCCAGTCAAGTCATTGGTACAATATGCAAAATTCCAAGTCAAGTCTCAAGTAAAATTTCAAGGCATTCACTTAAGCTTTTTTCAAGTTTCGTAATTTACTGAAAAAGTTTTACAACAGTACCGAATTATATTTTAGGATGGTTAATATTTGTAATGTCTTTCTTGACATTTTGATCCTAAGTTGTTGAGATAGAAAATCATTTTTTTAGAAAATATTCTTTCGACAGGTGATGACGTTGCAGATACTGTAAAATTTTTCTTGACAATTTGTTCTATGATTTGTGTTTTATTGATTGATTAATGAGGAAAAAAAACTATTCGAATAATTATTATCATTTCTAAGATAATGATTAATATTATCTTGGATAAATGTTACATTATCAACTTTCTTTTTTTAAATATTGTTCAGTCGAATGTCTAAGAAAAAACTCTTTCGCTTTGGTGTTGATTGTTTTTGATAATTGTTTCTTATTCATAGCATGTGTTTTGAAATGTTGTGGTCGATTAATAATTATATTTCAAGTATTATTAATGGAATTTTCATATTAAAACGCAAAGTATAACTTTGCGTAATGTGAATCTATTATATATATATTTTAGTTACAAAAATATGTCTGATTTGATTTCTATTCTTATTGTCAAGTCACAGGTCAAAAAAAAAGGAAAAAAGAAAGTCACGCGGATGAGTCATCAAAAAAATTTCTTTGACAAACCAAAGTCAAGTCAAATCAAGTCAAAAATTACTTGACTTCGATCTACCCTGGATATTTTTATCCCATGTTTGAACCGCTTCCAAAGCGCTATCGAGCCAAATCAATACTAACATGCGATGCAAAAGTCTTTGCATAAATGTTAACCTATGGTAGACCATAATGCTTACTTCTAAACTAATCAAATTTTTTTTTGTTGGAAAGAGCAAAGTCTGAACTACAAATTTTGTATCAGAATTATTTTTCCAGAACGAATCTACGAAGCAGGAGACGTCAAAAACCAAACACCTCTAAAAAAGTTCTTGCAACGTTTTGCAATTTGAAAAGCTTCTATTTCTCAATTATCTTGAGTTATAAAGATCGAATTCTAACAAAAAATACACCAAAATGTAGCACATCAAAAGTTCTATTGATATCAGCTTTGGTAAATTTTTTCAAGATTAGCTCTTGACTCGTTAATAAAAAAAAGTGGAAAATTGAAATTTTTGTAAAGTAGAGTCTTTTGCAAGAACTATTAATTTGAAAGGAGATCAATTACAATTTCCAGAAACTATGTATGAACTGAAATCTTTGTGTGTTATTTGTTTCAAATACGTCAGATCCTAGAAACTTAGCAGAAAAAAAGAATTCAAAAACTCTCTTTTATTGTGACAAAATGGTCAGGTAGCAAGAAAGACCAAATTATACAGTATCATCCAGAAAAAGCTATATTTTTTTGAGAAAGCCAATACTAAATTTAACTTCGAATCCATCATTGGAAAGAGCACTCTTTATTCTACAAAAATCACCATTAAACGTGCGTTTTCGTTTAGTTTCTGATATAAAAAAATGAACAAAAAATAGAAAATGATATTGCGCGAAAGTGAAGTTGCAAGAACTTTTCTTAGAATTGTTTGGTTTTTGACTTCTCCTGCTTCGTAGATTCGTTCTGGAAAAATAAGTCTGATACAAAATTTGTAGTTCAGACTTTGCTCTTTCCAACAAAAAAAAATTTGATTGGTTTATAAATAAGCATTATGGTTTAACATAGATTGACATTTATGCAAAGACTTTTGCATCGCATGTTATATCGTTTTTTGATGCTCTATAAAACCATATAAAATTTGTCTTAAGCTCTCGGAAAGTCACTTCATAACAGAAGCAAGAATGGTAAAACAAAGCATGTAAAATAGACTAAAGAATGGTTGATTTCACCTATTATAATGGATTTTTTCGGTTTATAACTTATGTATGCATTTCAATTGAATTTTTCTCGTTTGTTTTTCTTGCTTAGGACAATTGCAATTTGATTTTTTTCTTTTGATAATTGATATATAGCGAGAAAATACAAATTTCACTTTATCGCTTCATATATTTATCATGAATAATACATGAACTTCTGAGAATAAAAAATCTACTTTAGTTTTATTACAAAATCTTTATTTTAACTAAAGTTTCGATCAATAAAATCATTATTTTATCAAATTAGTTCATACTAAATTCTTATTTTCATAATTTTACTTACAAGAGAACCTCTTCAGCTGACCTCTTTCGAACTCAATGATTCTTTTTTGTCTATAGGTACTACTTAGTGTTCAAATAAAAACTCGAAAAGGATTTGATTAAGCTTTCGAATTTTCTTCTAGAGGTTCTAGATTTTCGGAAAACTTGAATTTTCGAATTTCGATCTGAAACTTTGAGGATGTAGCGAACTCAACTAGACTAGCTTACATCAAAAACATTCACAAGCTTTGAACAAAGTCTTCGAAATATGAGACTTTCAAGATATATATACCCTTTTCCATGAATACAACATGCATTTTTTGAAAGCTTCTTATTTCAAAAAGGTTCTACTGGAAAATTCTAAATTTTTCAATGTAAGGTAGTCTAGTTGAGTTCGCTAAATGCTCAAAGTTTCAGATCAAAATTCGAAAATCTGAAGTCTCTATGAAATAGACATTAAAAATTCGATAGCTTACAAAGGAAGGTCATCAATTGTTCAATCGCTTTTTAGTTGAAACTTAGCGGATTATAGATAATCGATCATGCTGATTCCGAACATCAACATAATTTTTATCGTTAGACCTTCAAGTACCAGTTTTCTCTAGCAAAAAATTTTTTCATCTGTCTAGTTTGTAGATCGCCTCGAATTGAGTATAAAAGGATGTGGGTATATGTGAAATCGAGACCTCGTCCTCATCCTTTTTTAACCTAAAGAAAACTTTGAATAAGATAAGATCTTTGTGAAGCTTTTTTTCATCATCGAACCTCACAATATAAGAATTCGGAGTGTTCTGATGATCTACAGAGTGTGTTATAGATATCTAAACATAGTTTAGTGTAACAGCAACTTGTATCAGACACAGTGATATCTAGTAGTATGAAAAACCCATGGAAGTTCAAGTACTAGAAGTTTTTTACTTCTTTAATCCCCTCTATAATAATTCAAATTTATACTCGACTTGCCGTACTCTACAAACTAGATAATCATAGAATGTTTCGAAATAGAAAATTGAATTTTTGCGAACGCCTAGCAGCAAAAATAGGTGATCTATTCTCGTTCGTTAATTAAGAAGGTAAATATTCATTCGAATAATATCATCCTATGTCAAATTATTTATTTATAAAATCTCCTTTAATACTATCTCAAATTCTTAATCTATTAAAATTGAATAACTTTCTTTTGTGTAACATTGTTTATAAGAATTCTTTAATCTAAGTAAGATAATCAAAACAAGTAACACTCGTCTGCCGACTGGCTCAGCTCTTTATCGTAGAAACACCGGTTCTGAACTCTCAGCAAATTATTTATGTACGCCATTTCAAAAAGTGAAATGAACACATTTTCGCTGTGTTTTTCTATCAAGTTCATCTAAACATTTGAATTCAGCTTTCTGAACAGTGGAAGGTCTGACTCATGAAACCTAATTAATAGGAACTGACCTCGGATTCAGATTGCCCATCCTCGATTACCTTTAGGCAAGTTTTATGGAAAATAACTCCTTTTGTTTTCATATTATTCTTGGACCAATCAGTGAAGTGCAGACACACAAGCAAGCAGACAATTTATGTTTGCTAGACTCTTCTCTACGAGAAAGAGAATAAATAAAGAATCGTTATTTTTTTATATCAAAAATTGAAATTCGTAATTTTATTATGACATACTCTTCTTCGAAAGGGCAATTCATAATAATTGATCTAATATAAGTGTATACTCTATAAGCATAATAACAATCTGAAAAAGGTCTTAATATAAAAAATGACATTATGATCAAAAATATGAATATATTAATTTTATAATTTTTTTTTTCTTTCTATTTTTGACTTGCTAGCTAAGATAAACAATACATCTTAATTTTTCGATTATTCTTCTATAGATTTATCGTTGAATTTCATATTTATTAACAGAAAAATATTGTTGATTACTTAACAATATGTACTGAAAATTTTTTTTTTCCGATAACATCAATCTTAAAATCGATAAAGAATATATGTATGTAAATTTCAATTGTATATTTAGAATTATTTTTGTTTTTTTTTTTTTTACTTATAAATGTCAATCATCATTTCTATTTTCTGTCGGATATTGATATATGTTGTATCGTTTATCAGTAGAGCATTAACAAATTGTTAAATAGATGGCAAACGACCATCTGTTAGTATTTGTATAAGTACTTTGACTGTCTTATTTGTCTGTTTGTTGCTTCTTTCGATATAGTTTATTACATTAAGTCTTTTATTTTACATATATATATATATATAATTATTGTAAGCATCGATAAATCAAATTGTTGTCAAAAGAATATAATGTACTGATCTTTAATACATATGTAAAATGTTATATAAAACCTAAAAAAAAGAATCTAAGTCAAGTTTATCATTAAGATAAATTCTTTTGTTAATAGTAGATAATAAAAAAAAAACTATATTAATATTATCAATCAAAATGATTATTGTGTTTGTTTTATTAAATATTTTCGTTGTATTTGACAAAAGTCATGTTATTCGATTATTTGAAATAGATCAATCAATGATGCAATTACATAACAATTGGTTATTTTATAGAAAAACTCGTTTGAATATATTATGATATTCAAGATCGGAGAGAGAAAAATAAAATTGAAAGCAAATTATATTGTTTATTTAGCGTGTAAAGCATATAGCAATCAATGCAATTGTTGATGAACAAGTTTTCATGTATGTGTGCGTGTGCATCAATAGCGTTTAACAGCAAAAAAACGCCTAACAAAACATTGTTAATAGAAAGAATCTTCTTTTCCAATCATCGATTGTCTTCTATAATTAATTTCATTGTTATAGTTTTATCATAATTAATATCAACACCACACATAATTCTCAAGTCGATTAATCAATATAGAACTTTTTGTTTTGCTTTTTACTGTGCATCCGTTTTCATTCTCTCTCTCTCTCTCTCATCGTGCTTTGTAATACGATTAAAGAATCAACTATCTATACAAAAATTTAGGTCGTCTTAACATGTTGCTTTCGTATAGTATTGTTTTTTTTTCTTCTTTTCCTTAACAGTAACAAGTGGCATGAAAAAGAAAAATACAGAAATGTTAAAGAAGATGAAAGCAGGTTGATGAAGATGACTTACTTATTGATGATTAATATGTAAGTTAAGAAACATTGAAAAGCAATAATATTTGTCAAAGTTATCCTACTATGATTAGAAACATACAGCAAAAATCAACTTAGAAGATAAAAACAACATCAGTTAAGTCGTACAAGCATGACATAAGTCTAATGCATAACTTGCTACAATATTTGTCTAAAGTAGTTGCTATATACATTAAGTTCTATCTTTTCCTTTCTTTTCTTTAACATAAACCTATTTATTTGATTAATGGATATAAACATTTTTTTTGACCATCGTTAATCTTCTCTTCAACAAGTGTATCTTTGATGTATGAGATCTTAAGATTTTTCTATTCATACAGTTTCATTTATTAACAAGTAGAAGATCAATATTTGATTGTTAATTGCAAACATATATATCGGTCAATTGATTTTGTATCGAGAATATTATGATTAAAATTGAATTAACTTATGAAATTGAGATATTGTAACTATTTCTGAATAATACTATTAAGAAAGAAAAAAAAAACAAAGAAATATTATTGATCTATTTTACCTTTAAATAGAAAAGTAATTTCCTTAATAGTTTAATGCCACTTGACATAAAAAAAAAACACCGGTAATACTCAGTCATACTTTCGAGAGTGAGAAAAAAAAAAACAATGAATTTTCTTTTTATTATTGTCTACTTTTGATTTAGAAATAGAAAACTTCTACAGACATTTACTGTTCTAAATAGGCGACCTGTCATAAGGAAGAAACATTCAAATGACGAATTACTATAAGATTGATTATATAGAAAGAGTATTAATAGCGTATATTTAACAAACTTATACATTAGAAAAGTCATATCTATATTTACTATACACACCATATGGACAATTTTCTTCGTAATCTCGATGTTCCTGCGGTAATATTTTCTTTGTTTCTCTGTAATAGAAAAAAACAAAAATGAATGCCATTGTAATATGATGGTAAAAACAAAAAATACAGTAAGAAACATACAGAAAAATTCAAGTAAGATAAATATAAAGTATAGAGAAATTTTTCTTTTTAGTGAAAAGAAAATGAAAGATATTAGAAACATAAGTGTGTAGAAAAAGTATTCATATCTTTATAAATTTAATTTATAAATGTAAATTGTTTGTTTGTTTTTTTAAAAATACGTTTGAATCGATGTGAGTTATAGTAAAAAAAAAAAAGAAATACTTGAATATCTCTACTCTATTTTAATTAAATGAGTTAATCTTTCTTTTTTTGTTTTCTCAATGAAAGATTTCTTTTCATAAAAGAAACATAAATAAATGCTGTATTATAATATTTTATAATCAACTTCAAGACAGCAAAATGACATTTTATAATTTCGCAGAAAATATAATCCACATGTGTATTTTTTGAAATAATTAAATTCTTAACAATTTTTGCTAATAAAGTAAGTTTATTATCGAGAATTGAATTTACTTAAAATGTAACGTTAGTCATCTTACGAATGAAATCTTTGAAAAAAAAAATTTACCTATTGAATTAAAATATAGTAGATATATTCTAATTTTTTTTTTTTTTGTACTGTGTGATCTACTTTAGTAGGTCACATTATCTCTAATGCGTTAGTGACAATATGAATATTTTTCAAGAATAATAGAGGAAAATTTTATTTAGCGCAGAACACAAAAAAAAAAAAACTTCGAGAAAGATTTTTATAAATGGATGTTTTTATTCTTGAACATAAATTCTTTTTACTTATTCACTATCAATTTGTCTTACTCGAAATCTTTTTTTTTTCCTTTGTTAGAACAACAAAGAATGGTGCTGATATTTTTTCTTTTCAGTACTATAATATGCTTAGTATAATTGAAAGTAACTTTTGTTCGGTTTATCTCCTGTTACTTTAATAAAGGACATGTTCTTTTTAAGAATTTGTTCTATAAGAAATGAGAAAGTATGAGTATTACATATGCTCTTTTTCCCTCATATTCATTCTTGTTTGAATTCAACCTTGATGTCAGATGCAATAGAACCAAGAAATTGACTGATAATTACCATCTGTTATTTATTTCTCATGTCAATGTATTGTTTTTATTAATAAGTAAAACAAGAAAGTAAGACAAGATATTATTTTATTATATTTATCTTTATTTTAGTATATTTAACGAAAAAATAATCATTTGAACTTTATATGAATAATAATAATAATTATTATGAAATTCGACTAAATATTTTTATGAATGAGTATGAATGTTAGTTTACAAATTCCATTAAACATTTCAAATTCTTCGACGTTATTTGTCGATATATTATTTCAAAAAATTCTCTTAGGATTTTTATTATTTAGTTTATCAATATTTACTATATTTGGTAATCTTCTTGTACTTTATGCAATAGGAACAGAAAAACGTTTAAGAGCAGTATCAAATTTATTTATTCTTAGTTTAGCATTTGCTGATTTAATTGTTGGAATTTTTGTTATGCCTTTAAGTGCAGCAAATATTATGATTGGTCAATGGCCATTTTCATTTGTTCTATGTCAAATATGGTTATCAACTGATTATGTTGCTAGGTATGCATTGAATATTTTGAAAGGATAAGTATTTAGATATTTTATCGAAAAGGTTTTTTTTTTACAAAAACAAAAATATTATAAAATTAAAACAAACAAGATTATACTCTAGAAATCATTTGAAAAATAATAAAATTGAATATTTTTCATAGAGAAAAATTCTAAATTCATAAATACCTAAATATATCTATAATTATAAGTTAATAGATGTTTGATCTCATATAATAATGTTAACCCTTTACCTCCCATAGTGGTTCCAGAAGAACAACTGACAAAATAACTTTATCAATAGAGTACTAGCTCCAATAGTATACCAATGGTGCTATCCGATCCACCGAAAATCCTGTCTCTAGAGTAGGGCGGTTTGATTGATCCTATAATTCTGTGGTAGAGGAAGTGACTTGAACTACATTGTAGTACTTGACTTTTTTTTTCTTTGACCATATCGTATAGTGGATCGAAGCAGTATCTATGTTGCACTGTTAAAGTGACGAGAAAAAGGCAAGGAATGAAGCGAAAAATTTAAAACCAAAGTATACACATATTTTTTTACATGTGTTGTCAAGTTGTTCGAGCCGTTTCATAACCTCTGAAGAAATGTAATTCATTATACATACGATTTCGACTTGTCATGAGTTGAGCTTTATAATACATGTATTAACTCCCTTCTTAATTACCCTCCATCTACGAGATAGTGGCTACATGATCAATTGTATCCCGTTGTATGTGTAATTCGTGAAGTTCTTATGAAACTTTGGAAACATATTTAATTCGCCAGAGGACTTCTTCATCAATTAATATCACACAGTAATTCCAAAAAATCTCTCTTAGCTGCGAGTAGAAAAAATTTTGTTTCAAAATTTTCGATTTTTTTCATTTTTTTAAAATTATCGATTTTGTAGACCCGATATTTCAGTAACGAAGCAATGAAGAGAAATGATCTTTTTACCAATCGATAGTTCATGAAGTTTGATACAAAAAAGGTTCTTATCGTTTTTGAATCCAATCCTTCCTTTAGTTTCTGCAATCATTCTACAAAATGGTCACTCCAGTGACCAACGGGTGGTAAAGGGTTAATGATAAAGGTTTAGAAATTTTTCGAATCGATTTTATAAATCAAAAAAAATGATTAAAATATTTTTGATTTAATTTAATTTTTCTTAGTACTGCTAGTATATTTAATCTTGTCCTTCTAAGTCTTGATCGTTATTGGGCTGTTGTTCATCCATTACTTTATCTTCAAAATCGTACATTTAAACGAACAATTAGTTTTATTATAATTGTTTGGTTAATATCATTATTATGGGCACCAGCAATTATATTTTGGTCACATATTATGCCTAAATATAGTGATATTATAAAATCAACTGAATGTGATACATCATTTCGTTCAAATAAATTATTTAAAACATTAACAGCTTTAATTAATTTTTATATACCATTATTAACAATAATAATAATATCATGTCGTATAATGATTACAATACATTCACGTTCAACAATGGAATTTGGTAGACGTATATCATTAACAAGACGAAAACAAATGCAACAAGATCGAACATATTTTAATTCATCAATACGTCATGATTCTCAAAATAATGAAAGAAAAAATTCAACATGTTTAATATCAAATAATATTAATGAAAAACCAATATCAGTATCAATTATTGTTAATCCATTTGATCCAATAATAACAAATCCAAATATTTCATCATATGAATTTGATATAAATAGTGAATTATTAAGTCAAACAAATGAACAAAATAATAATAATAATATTTGGGAATTAGAATCAAATGAATCTTCTTCAATTGATAAAACACATTTTCAATTATCTCATTTAAAACCTATTAAAATATTATTTTCATCATTATCTTCAATAACAAACTATAATAATAATAATAATAAACGTAAAAGTGAAGATTTATCACGAAATTTTTCTCATAAAAAATTTATGAAAATTTCTTCAAGTGTTTCAAATAATATGAAATATGCTGAAAGACAATCAAATATAACATCATTTGATTTAAATCATTTACCACGAACATTATCAACAACATCTAATGAATGTCAGCAAACAATGTGTATTAATCCAATTGAACAAGATTTTTCAATACCAATAGAAGATATTAATGTGTAAATATTATATCAAACGCTTTAAGGAAATCTCTATAAGTGGATCAGAGAATGCACAACTTCCCTCTATCGAGATTTTTCAATGATGTATTTTTTTGCGTCAAAAATCTCGTCACAGAGGCCCAAAGGTTCGTCGGAGAGAGGTTGAGTTCCTCCTAGCCGAAAATCCGGACTTCGCCACTGCAATATAGGATGTTATATAATTCACGTGAAAGATGAAATCAGTAACCAAGCAAACCGATAGGGGATCAGTATGGATTTTGAGACAGTCTTTTGTCGATTAATTGGCATACCGATCTAATCTTCAAATTTCCAGAAAATGGCTTCAGGGCATCTTTCCCAGATTTCTCAAGAATGGTTCGATCGAAAATTCTGAAACATTTAGAGTAGATAGATTTCGACTAATTGAGCCAAATTTGTCATAAACTCAGAATTCTTGAATTCTTCTTCCTATGAGATATAAGTGATGCAAGGACCAAAAATGACCTGAAAGTTCCCCTGTAAACAGCCATTATTCATTTTTTTGGTAACAACTAGAACCAAAATGAGGCGTAGATTTTTTTCTTTCTCTTTGAAAAATATTATTTCTTTCGCTTAGAAAAACCAAAATACTGAAAGCTCTATCAAAAAAAACAACTAAGTTTTTTTGTGTCTAAAGCAAACTTTGTAAGATTTGTCAACAATCACCAGAGCATTATTTAAAGGAAAAAATATACATATGTACATCCCAATTTGATCCTAGTTGTTATGCAACAAGTTTCAGCTCACTTGATCGAAGCCTGTGGGAGAAACGTATTCAAAAATCGATTTTGAGAAAAACACGAAACAATGTACAGTCCTTCACTAATTTGTTTAAAGACAATTTTTCGATTCCAAAATGTAATCAATAGATATATACTACTTCTGACTATACAAAAACCACAAAAACAAAAAGAAAAATTCTAAATCACATCTAACCAAACTAGAATTCTCTTTGAATATTTAGTCTTTTGATATATACTCCGTTGTTTATCAACTTCCCATCATAGATATCCATCGCGATTGAGAATCTGCTGGTACCACAACGCGACGCACTATTTAAAAAAAAATACTTGCCGCTGCTCTGATAATTTTCAAAGCAATGTTTCGATTTTCAAGGCAGGAGTCAATTTGAACTAGAACTGTTGATCGATTAGATTTGCTAAGTCTTACAGTATCATATATATGAACAGCGAGATTCTGTACAAATTCATACTATTTTTGAAATTTCTTCCTAAGAAAAGCCGTCGTCATGAACATCTCTGCTTCCCATCAATAATATTAAAAAAAACTAATCATATTCGCCGAATCACAAAAATCATTCCGCCTATTTCGAAAACAAAAAAAGCTAACCAATGCCATTTGAATCGGAAAAAGCCTGTCGGTAGTATAAAACTTAGGAACTCCGGAATTTCTCGGAGATAACTCGATGAAAAATTATAAAACTTTCAAAGCAGATAGATCTCAATAAGTAAAGCAAAAATCATTCTAGACTCAAAATTCTCAGATGCTTCCTTCAGAGAGATATGGGGGTAACTAAAGTCAAAAATGCCCTTCCCCCTCCCGCAAACTTTCTCAAATCGTGTTTGTTTTTCGAGAAGCAATGTCAAAAACCATATCGTAGGAATAAAATTTTGCAGAAAAAAATAAAAGAACATGCATTGCAACTTGACCAAAGTACTCATTAGAAAAATATTTGAACCCAACCGTTCAGGAGAAAACTTCGTTTACTCAAAAAAATGAGTTAGAGAAAATAATTTCAATGCTTTGTTTGTTTTTTTTTTTTGGTCGTTTTAGTCAAACAAGAACATCATCATATTCTACAAGTAATATAGACAATAGAACTATAAATTCAAATAATCATCATATAGATATGTCTGTAACACGAATAAATAATGGAAATAAAATAAGTATTTTAACATTTTTTGATTATATTATTAATCCAAATCTTTCAAGATCATTACAAAAAGAACTTAAAGCTGCAAGACAATTAGGATTACTTGTTGGTGTATTTACTATAACATGGTTACCATATTTTATATTATTTTTAGTTATTGCATGGTGTCATAATTGTGTATCCGATACTATTTTTACAGTATCTATATGGCTTGGATATTTAAATTCAACATTTAATCCACTTATTTATCCATTATGTAATACACATTTTCGTCATGCTTTTAAAAGAATTCTTTTTTGTAAATCTACAAAAATGAAAATAACTAATCAAAGTGCATTATCAGAACTTTATGCATTACATTCTATACGTCGTCATCGATAAAATCTATTTATGAGAGTTTTATATGTCTATTTTCTTTATTCTTTTGAGATTAATATCATGATAATTGATGACCTCTTTTTTTTTTTTTTTTTACAATGACAAATGTCTTTGTGATAAAGAATTATCTTCGGTTCTTTTTTTTTTTCGTATTTTTATTGTACGTGATTGAATTTTCCTAATTGTTTGATCTATTTATTAAATTTAATTAAAATTGAAATCATGTTAAAACACTTGTTAGTACAGAACTCATAAACTGAGAACTTTTCAGCTGATATTTTGTCCATAATTAGAATCCGATGAGACTAGAAAAAGCCTAAAAGAATATGGGTCTATAGGTAAGGAGCAGCAGGTTCATGTTTTTGTGGATCCGGACTCGGTCGAGTCCAAACCAGATGTTTATTCCATCAATACCTGGCACCCTTCGTATACATGAATAAGTAAAGGATCAAGATTTTAGCTATTTATTCGCTACTGTCAGTAGAAAAAGTCAAAGCACAGCTTTATCTTGTTGCTGGATTTCTCATCTGGGGAGCAATGGGTCCACAAAAACGTGTAACCAGGTTCGACAAAAAAATAAAATTATGGACCTGGGCTCGAAGCTCCCTACCCATAGGCCTTTCTTCTTGAGTTACGATTATTCCACTGGGTTTATTACATTTACCGAAAAAAATTAAATTTCAGATCGAAATTCTGTAATTTGATTTTTTTTAGTAAATGTGATAAACTCAGTGGAATAGCCGTAACTCGAGAAGAAAGGTCTATGGATTCTTATTCTTTTAGGCGCTTTCTAATCTCATTGGACTCTAGTTATGGGCAAAATATCAGATCAAAAACTCTGAATCACTCGGAGCAGCTCCCTCGTGAAAGGAATTTTTTTTTGCATAGAAAACCATGGACTGGGTCGAATTGATTCGATATTGTGATGGACACTCAAGTTTTGTGAAAAATTTACAAGCAGAATGTTTCATAAACTTTAGTTTTTGAAACCTCGTGAGTTTGTCTATAGGCTTCTGACTTGAAGAACATATCCTGCATGTTCTAGCAAGTTCACTTGCTTATCCCCTCCATATGGTCTCATAAATCACTGTATGAAGGACAAAACCCGAAAGTTCAACTTCATTTGGAGTTTTTCTCAAAACAACTTTTTTTTTTGTTCATGTGCATCCCAGATTTCTCAGCTATTTTACAAGCTAGAAAGCTCAGGTTGGTTTTAAATTAAAGAGAAAAGTGTACCCGACAACTTAGTAGCACAGAATTTTTCATTATTGATAAAAAAAAATCCTTTTTTATAGACGTAAAAATTAACAAAGAAGAGTTTAAAAACAGTAGTGATCTGTTAGGTCGTAGCGGCAAGTGTTGGCTACATCTTGATGACAACTCGAAATCTCCGTCATTATAAGCAACTATAAGTTTCACGGTCATTTTTGACTACAAAACGGGATATACGTTGACTAAGACTTGCTCTATCAAATCATATATGTATTATCAACTTCTATTCCGTATCAACGACTTATCGATAGATGCCGCTACCTTCGACACATGAAGGTGACGCCATGTATCGATAAGTCGCCGGTACGCAATAGAAGTTGATAATGCATACATGATTTGATAGAGCAATTCTTTATATATCTCGTTCTGTAGTCAAAACCTTTATAGTCGCCTTTGGAGGAGAATCTGAGACGCACGGAGACTTATTTTTTAGTCCTTAATATGAGAATATTTCCTGAGATTTTCAGCTAGATCTGCTGCTCTACGACAAAATGGAGCTTAAAATTCTTCTGTAAAATATGCAAACACTAGAAAAAAAACTCCTATGTTTTTTTTTTGTTCTGGAAATAACTGTATCACAGTTTTTGAAATAAATTGAATAAGACAATGAACAAACAACATTAATAAAAAATATTGGAATGAGATATGCCTGCCAGCAATGTTTATACTCTCTACTTGATTAGATTATACGATGCTAAAACATATGCGCATGAGATAAAGGAAAAAAAAACTTAAACAAAATCAAATTGATTTTTGCTACTATTGCAAATAAATTTTTCTCGTTTTTTTTTTTTGTTTTTTTTTTTTTATTTATACATAAATAAAACAAATAATTATTACAAAGAACAAGCACATGATGCTGCATGTTCAGCTGAATAAACAAATGCTTCAGTTGCTAATACTGGATGTTGTTCAACTAATAAACGCCAATCATCTGTTTCAATTATTTCAATTATATTACGCATTATAAAATTTAAAATACGTTTTTTTAATTCAATTGCATTATGTAAATCAGCAACAATAAAAAGCATTGTACAATTTATTATTGATAATGAATTAATCATAATTAATTCTGCTTTTTGTTTTAAAAATTCTAATTCATATTTATCGGCAGCTTTAAAAATTTCTATTGCATTATGTTCATTTATTTCTTCAACATTCGATGTATATATATATTCAAGTAAACAACGAACTGTTTCAGCTTGTAAATCAGTTATTTCAATTGTAGAATTTTGATCTTCTAACATTGAATGAGAAAACATTGCAGCAAATACAGGACTACGAGCCTAGAAAAAAATAATAACATAAGTGATTTTTAATAAAACAACTCAGAGATATCCGTCAATTGATTTATGATCAATGTACAACGCATATATACGAAATAGACTATGTGAACTTCAGAAATTCATTTGTAGAATCAAGAAATAGCTCGTATCGTATCCTACAAAGTGAAAATTATAACGGATGACTCTAATCATGATATTTAGAACTTAGTCTTTTTTTTCAATATTTCCAAAAATTGAAAAAGTAGTTTTTTCGTAGGTAACTTGATTTGCTTTATTCAATGGCACTAAATAAATTGACAAAACAAAAATTTGTGAATATGTCATTTTTAGAAACGGTCGGAGTTCTCCAAATTGTCCATCAATAAATAGGATTGAATAGTAAAACATTTAGTTAACTCCGATGTGGATCTCTGTTAGCGTCAACAGATGATACTATGTTGACGCTAACTTAATTGAACTTCGTTCAACTGATCTTTTCTTGTTATTCTTTCATTTGTTGATGTCTTCTCTTTCATTCTCCTGTTAATTGGTTTCTCTCTCTTTCGGATTTTCTCAGATTTTGATATAGTTCAGTTGAACTCTCTCCTATATAGTGGAAGGTTGTATTGTATTATCTCCGATTTGTCTTCCATTATTATTATTATTATCAGTGTTATCATCATAATAAATCTCTTCCCCCCTCTTATATTACACTTCTTATTCCATTACTCCAACATCATTATTATTTAGTCAATTCCAAGGTAAAATCATTATACTTTCAGGTCCCAATAATAAGACATAAAAGTTGACCTAATAGTCTCTACTGAGGATATACAAAAGATCGTCACTCATACCGATATCCTTGTCGAATTGTTCGGTTATCTATGTAAATCACACAATCGACTTTATGTAATAATTTCTCATTTAAGATACACAAGCATAGCTTGATATTATATAAATAATACTAATAGGAATATTCGATCGATTACTGATAAATAAACTGTACTAACAACTGATTAGTTATCAAAATCGATTCTACATCTTCTTAGATTCAATTCGAGAATATGTCATTTGTTTTTGAATAATGTCAAAAATAAATAATATTATTATATCATTTTCAAAAGTTGGAAACAACTGTGATATCATCAAAGGTTGAGCTACAGTTTGACATTAATAGGCGACCTCCTTTTGTTGTAAAAACTATGCTTTTTAAATGAATCTAAGGTAGAACCTATCAGGTTGATTTCGAACTCTAGTCTAAAGAGCGTTACCATTATGTTTTTAATGATAACTATTTCCAGGAGCAAACTTACAAAAAACAAATTTGACCATGATGAATTCTGTTGTTTTAACTTCAAGTACAAAAGAAAATATTTTATTCAGAATGAGACAATCTCCAGAAATATGAACTTTTTTGAATAGTTCTAATGACAGGCATCCTTTTAGATCGATGTATTATGGGGAGAAAGCAACAGTTAGTTGTAGAACGTTCCATACACAACTAAAACGAATTTACTAGACTTCAGCTGTTTGTCACAATAAAACTGATAATACATAAACTTACACTCAATATACTTCGATGTGCATAAAATGTTGTTGTTATAGGTGTTGATAGAATAGCTAATGCTGTTGAAGTTGTTTCATCTGATGATTCTCCTGCACCACTACTTCCACCAGAATTTGAACTATATCGTTTACGTTTCGTACGATTATTAGTCTTTTTTGGGGATGATGACGATGATGATGATGACGATGATGATGATGATGATGATGATGATGGTATATCATTTGATTTATTTTCATATATTAAATTATTAAATTGTTCTGGTCGTACAATAATTGTAACATCATAACAATTATCTTTTGTTGATGATAATAATGAACCTAAATGTGTTGATAATGATACTAAACTATCATATGTATTCTTTTTTTCTTCATGTATTATTGATGATGATGATTCTCCAACAATAATAACACGTGCAAAAATTTTTAAACTTTGATCAGAATTTAATAATTCAGATTTACGTTGTGTTGTTAATACCATACGCATTAAATATTCTGAATAACCCCAATCACCACCTGTTGGAAATACATGATATGGAGTTTTACGTACAATATGAAATTCTCCACGACTATTTATTAATGAAAATTCAGCTTTAGCTAATAAATCTGTACGACCACGAACATATTTAACAAATAAACTTATATATTCAACAGATTTTTCATTAACACCTTTTGGATAAAGTTTTAAGCACCAACTAAAATCAAATGAAAAAAAAAAAAAAAATTTATGAATTTTTTATTAAAAAAAAAAGATCTATTAATTAACCTTGTGTCTGTATGTGGACCAAATGTTGGCGAAAAATATGAACTGAATAATACACGAGGAGATTGGGGATCGTCTAGATTATATAAAATAAATTATATAAAAAAAAAAAAAAAAAAAACAACAAATTAATATAAACCTAAATATGATTGAAAATGATCAATTGTCCATAAATGTGTAAATGAAACAACTTTTCGATCAGTTAAACAAATTGAATGAGGTGGATTTGATGAAAGCGGTCGGTTACCACGAAAATTCGACCGTTCTGTATTGGTGCTCGACATTGTCTGAATGATTGACAAATAACAATAAACAGCATTCTGTATTGGTTAAAATATATCAACCAATCAATATTATATTATTCAAAATGATAGATAAATTATATTTTTTATATCAAAAAAAAAAAAAAGAATGAATGCCATACATGTCATTATGGCAACATCAACATCTGCTAATCCACATAATGCACCAAATGAACGTATTGAAAATATTGCTCGAAAAAGAAAAATGTCATCTATTACATTTTTTAGTTTGTTTTTTAAATACTTTTTTGTTTCTCTTCATTGCAAAAATTTTTGTCTTTTAGTTTTTGGAATTCTTCTTATTATTTCTGGTTCATTATTAGCTTCATTTGAAAGTCAAAGATTTTCTGTATCATTTATTGTTTTTGGGTATTTAATTGTTTGTTTTTTTCTTGTACATAATTTTAAACAAAATTTGATTTTTTTTTTTTGGTTCTTTAGTATTATTGGACTTATATTTGCTTTTATGTATTGGATATCAGCAGAAAAAATATTAATAGAATTACGAAAATTTAATGCAGATCGAATGAGAGTAAGAAATATTTTCGATTATTTAATAAACAAAAAAAAAAAAAACTCTTTTCAGCAAGCACAATTACAAGCTCAAAATTCTAGTGTATGTCATTCAAGAAATATTATCAACAGGTAAAATTATTTATGTCAACCCTCTCGATTTCTTTTTGATTAAATTCATAACAGAATTAAGATAAATACGAATAACTTGAAGATGTGAATGTAGATGTCGTTAGAGACAAGATTCGCATCCTCTATAAATCCGGATAGAGAGGTCATAAACAAAAGCGATCGATTTCACCTTTGCAGAATATGATAGAAATTTCAGACTGATCGGACCCGATGATCAAAAAAATAAGAGAGAGGGGAATTGTAAATGTACTTAGCCTGAAATAGATTTTTAAAAGTACACGATTGGAAAAAATATTATTCCAGGGGGGTAACGCTATGATTTCAAATAGAAGACATAATAAATTTTATATCAAATGAAAGCTCGTTAAAAATGGGGTTTATTGGTATTAAATAGTGAAGGTTATGAAAACCTTTTAATATCGAGCTTAATAAATTTTCAGAAATTTTATACTTTTTTTGGGATGGAAAATTAAAGTACCAGTGATTCAAGAATGGAGTAAAATGTTTTTCTTGAATATTTTTACACGGTTTGATAGAGCTCGTCGAGCTCTATAAAACTGTATACATTAAAAAATTTTTAAGACACTTTTTTTGCGATAAAAAATTCAAAAAACTATTTGGAAAATCTTAGAAAACATGAAAAAAATTCATATTTTTCATGTGGAAGAACAACACTTACTTTTTCAATAAAAGTAGCTTTTTTCATTGTTTTTACTCCGTCAGGCGTTTCGAAACATACTCATTAGACGCAGCTTTTCACACTGCATCGAACGAGTATATTTCGAGACGTCTGAGGTAGTAAAAACAACGAAAAAAGCTACTTTTATTGAAAAATTGAGCGTGTTTCTTCAATTTGAAAAAAAAAAGAGTTTTTAAATGTTTTTGAGGTTTCCCGAGTAGTTTTTTGAACTTTTTATCTCAAAAAGATGCCTGAAAAAATTTTTAACATGCACAGTTTTGTAGAGCTCAACGAGGTCTATCAAACCATGTAAAAATATTCAAGAAAAAAAATTGACTTCATTTTTGAATCAGTGGCACCTTGATTTGCCACCCCAAAAAAATATAAAATTTCTGAAAACTTCTTAAATTTGACATTAGAAAGTTTTTACAAGCCTCACTATTTAGTATCAATAAACCCCATTTTTGACGAGCTTTCATTTGATATCAAATTCATTATGTCTTCTATTTGAAATTATAGCGTTACCCCCCTGGAATAATATTTTTTCCAACCGTGTAAGGAAAGATTAATAATGCAGTTTTTATTTTCATTTTAGAGATTTCGATGGTTCTAATCCTACAATTCGTGTTGGTTTACCAAGCTATGAACAAAGTGTTGTACCTCCAATAGGTAAATATATTTCTAATAATCAATAGAAAAATCTATTCCATTATATGAAATAAATTTAATATTAGAGAATTATAAATTTCATCATTGTTTGCTTTTCTAATGTTTTTAACTCTTCAATTTAACAATCATAACATTTTACTCAGAATTAAATTCTACATCCATTAGCATAAGAACAAATTTGCCACAGACTAAGTCTCTCTTTGACATATACGAGTATATTTCGAAACGCCTGAGAGAGGAAAATAATTAAAAAAAATACTAAGTTTATTGAAACATCTAGTGCGTTTCTTCCATATCAAAAATATGAGTTTTCTAAAGACTTTTCAAATAATTTTGTAGAATTCGATGAACTCTATCAAACCATGTAAAAATATTTAAGAAAAACATTTTACTCGATTTTTGAATTGTTGTCATCTTACTTTTTCACTACGAAAACAAAAGTATAAAATTTCTGAAAGTTTATTAAGTTTGATATTAAAAAATTTTTATAATCTTCACTATTTAGTATCAATGAACTTTCATTTGATATAAAATTCATTATGTCTTCTATTTCCAATCATAGCGTTACTCCCTTGGAATAATATTTTTACCCACTTTTGGGGAGCTGCAAGTCTACGTTTTTGTGAACCCGGATCCGAACTCGAGGTTTTTTCCATCAACACCTAGCATCCTTCGTGTACACGAACAAGTGAAGGATCAAAGTTTCAGCTATTTATTCGCTACTCTTCGTACAGTTATATCCTGTTGCTGAATTTCTCATCTGGAGGACAGCGGGTCCATAAAAACGTGTAACCGGGTCTGAAAGGACCTGCAGCTTTCTACATGAAATCTTCTGATCTATAATATATTGAAAGTTGCTCTGAAAAAGAGGAAAATATATTTGCATTAATTTGTCCATGTCCGTTTTTTTTGTTTTAGAAATTCCACCGTCTTATGAAGAAGCAATACAAATCAAATCAATGAGTTCTTCTAATGATAATTCTAGTCAACAATCATCATCAATACCGATTCATTCAATATCTTTATCTATCGATCAAACTACAAATACAACAACATCTAATGAAATACATAATCGAGAACAATTAACATCGAATTCTTCATCTTAATAATAAATAAAATTGCTAGTTTTTTTTTTTTGAATACATCTATATATCTATATATATATATATATGTTTCTATATTAACTATTTTTTTATTAATCTCATGGTGACAGAAAAGTAAAATAGACTATGATTTGTTTGTTTTGTTTTGTTTCTTTTTTTTGTATACTCAGCTCAAATTTCTTTTTCTTTTGTATTGTTTATTGTATTAGTATCAGTCGAATGTTATCTTAGAATGAGATTTAAAAAAAGAAAATAAAACATGTGAAAAATGTGGTACCTCTCTCTCTCTTGTGTAAATATCTAGTGTGAATTTTAGTTGATCATTGGAGAATTTCGTTTTATTTGAATAAAATTTTATCTAATTATTATTTTTTTTGTTTTTGAATTATTCAAGAATGAAGAAAAAAAATAGAAATAATACATTTGATGAACCACGATTACTTTGGTTAAGACATTTTTCTGCTGGTATTTTTGCTGGTGGTGCTAGTCGAACATGTACAGCTCCTATTGATCGTTTACGAACATTTTTTCAAGGTAATTAATCATTATATTTTTCTTTTTCAAAATTAAAAAAAAAAAAAAATTTTTTTTTGTTATTTATTTTCTAGTTTATGGTCTTGATATAAATGGACAAATGACAATACGTACAACATTAAATTCAATGATTAATGAAGGTGGTATTCGATCATTATGGCGTGGTAATTTAATGAATGTAATTAAAATATCACCGGAAACTGGTCTTCGTTTTATGTCATATGAAGCATTTAAAAGATTAGTTGGACAAACACAAACATATGAAATAAGTATTTTAGAAAAATTTTTATGTGGTTCAACAGCTGGTTTTACAGCTAGTGCATTGATTTATCCAATGAAAACAATTAAAGTTAGAATATAAGATTTTTTTTCGTTTTGATTCAATGAGAAGTTTTTTGTTTTTTTTTCTAGACTCGACTTACTATACGTAAAACAAATGAATATAAATCAATTATGGATTGTATGATGAAAATATATCATGGAGAAGGTTTACGAGCTTTTTATAAAGGTTTGTATCTTTTAGAAATTTTATAAAGAATTTTAAATTAGATTTTTAAAAATTTAAAATGACAAAAAAATAAATCTTATGATTGTTGTTAAATGAGAGAAACATTTTTAGAAAGAAAAGATTATTTAAGATTTTTTTAAAACTATTTTCAATAATATTAAGGTAGTCATTATTGAAAAGTTTTAACACAACATACATACTAGTAATCATGTCATTATCTATTTCTAGAACTTCTCTTATTGTTTGCTTCTTGATATTTAATTTTTCTATATTAATATAAATTTTATTGATTATAGGTTTATTACCAAGTGCATTAGCTATTCTTCCAGCTAGTGGTATTGAGCTTGCATTATATGAAACATTAAAACGACGTATAGAAACTTATCAAGGTTATAAAACAAATTCAATAGAAAAATTAATTGTTGGTAATATATCAAATTGTATTAGTCAATTTTTTATTTATCCATTATTAAATGTTCGAACACGACTACAATCAAATATTGGTCAGTCAGATACAATGACAAAAATATTAAAACGTCTATGGTTACATCATGGATTAAGAGGTCTTTATAATGGATTTTCATTACATATGTTACGTTTGGCACCAGCTAGTGGAATCTCATTTCTAACTTTTGAATATACTAGTCAATTATTAGGAGTTAAAGCTTTATAGTTATACAAGTCAATAGAAAATAGTACACTTATGTGTATGTAGTAGGATAATATTATGTTTTTTTGTTTTGTATTTTTTCATTTATGATTTTAATAGAACTATTAATGAATGAAGTAAAATATTGTGATAAGAAATTTGTTCAATTTTTCTGTTCCTTCAAATAGGAATTCTATTTCAACAATTGTTCATACTGTTTTTGAAAGGTACAGTAATTGCAAAAAAGTATCTTGATGTTAATACTTTAGTCTTATAGTTTGAATATAAATACAAACAGGTTGAATATTGATCGCAAGAACTTGATCATCGGAAGAGCTAGAAGTTCAACATAGAAAATAAATTTCATATCAAACAATTTTAGTATGCTTGATTTATGAAGCAATGAGAGTTGATAGAAATTGTCGAAAATTGATCCATATCTTCAGCTAATTTTAACCATTTGACGGAAAATTTCACGATTGTTGTTATCAATGGAGAAGAGATTCGTGTTGCAAGATCTTAGACAATAATGGTTTCCTTGAGCCTCAAGATTACAGCGAATTGAAGTACCGTATCTGTGATAAGTTTATGGTATATGCTCAGAAAGAAATGAGGAATAGATAAATCAAAATTATAACAATTTTTAAAGTTGATACGTACACACGAAAATTTCAAAAAATATTTGAATTTAGAATTTCTATTCTACCAATTTATAAGATAATTATAATGAAAAAATTTCTTTGTATTGTCAGATATATTCTAATGATTAAAATACACATTGATTTAACCGCTCAGTAAGTTTTCTCTCGACAAACTTTGACATATAACTATTGAGTTTTGTCTAAACTTCGAATTCAATTGCTTCATACTTTTCTATGTTCATCCTATTCTAAACCAAATAGATCAATAAGATTCTTTCGCTGTATTAAATATGAAAATCTACAATATTTCGATTATTTAGAATCTACAGTAGAAATCTTAGATTCATAGAATGTTTTGAAAGATTCTAGGATGATCTAAGTATTGTTATTACTGACGCACTTTTTCCCATTGTTAGGAAAACATACCCGATGACCTTTACTCTTCCACCTTCCACTAGAACCCATCAGGTCCTGTCTGGATCCGATAAACTCTACCTTCCAGTCTTCGTTGTCAAGGCCTAAGAGAAAATCGCGAAAATTTAGATTTAAACTTATGCTTCGAAAATATGTCAGTTCTACTAAATGGATGTTAACACATTTAAATAGTGGAAAAACCAGAAAAGTCTTCTTTTTCAGACCGTAAAGAAAATAAACCGGTGCTTTCGTTATAAATCATTTGCATTAAGGCTTATTAACCTCGAGTTGCTGCTTACGATCAGAGTTTACAGACCTCTATTTCTAGTCAAAATATTAAGCAAAAGGATTGAAGTTGATATACTTTTTACCCAGTAACGAGACTTCTTGTGACTACAATAATTAAATTTTTTTTTTATTAAATAGATTAGAACAGCAATTGAATGAAATATTGATTTTTCGAATCGTAAATATATAGTGACTGAATATGAAGAATAGTTCATAGATTATACATATTTATAACCAATATTAACATAATTTGGACAGACGGAAAGAAAAGAACAGTTAATGAGAACATATAATTATATTCTATAGAATAATAACAAAAGAAACTGAATCTGTTTTATGTACGTTATTCATTGTCAGAATATACAAAGAATAACTATTTTTCTTTCTAGAACACGCTTACATCAGAAGGATAAATATCTGACATATATGAAATAAACAAATCTTGTTCATTGCCTTTCTCTAATATATACATTGTACGTATCCAGAAATGATAGAATATGGATTCTTAACGGTAACAAACATATATATATAAGAACGACGAAGGTGACATATATATCATTATTCGTCGTTGATATTTGTTAGTATCATCATCTAACAATGATGGTTTTGACTCGGATATTTTTCATCATTATAATTGGTTCTATTTTTTCAACGATCAATAATTGTCTATCAATGGGTGAGAATTTTAACATATATATTTTCAAATTAAATGTAATTACTCAAATATAGCTTGAACATCATCTCTAGTTATTCTATCATCAGATACAACATCAAATGATTTTCTTTCAAATCTTACAACAACAACAACAACAACGATAGTTTCTTCAACTATTTTAAATGATACACGAAATAATTTAACATCACCACCAACACATATATTACGTGTACGTATTCGTGTTCATAATTCTTTAATTGAAACATTAGTTAATCAAAAACAATTAGATTTAATTGAAATTCAATTACGACAAAGACATATACCATATCGTCAAATACAAGATAATAAAGATGGTATTACAATAATTATAGGACCATTTCATAAATCAAAAAATTTTACAGCATCTATGATGATATTTAATCAAACACGTTTTCATACAAATTTTACTAAAATAATAACAATTAAAAGTGATTTTAAAAATCAAACAAATACAACAATACATACAGATAAAGAACAAATTCAACAAGAACATTTTCCTATGACTGTTGAAGCACATGAATATGATCTTGCTCATGATCAAGGTATTATTATTATTTTTTTTTTCCTATTTTAAATTGATTTTATTTATTTATTTTTTAGAATCATATGAATTTCGTAATTGTCTTGAAGCATGTGAAATTTATGAAGGCAATGAATTAAAACCGGATCATAATTGTATTAGAAAAAAATGTCTTAAAGAAATAACAGGCATTTAAAATAAACTTTCCTTTTTTTTAGATTAAATATGATTAACGATATAATTTATATAAAATTGAATTGTTTTTAACTTTTTCGAAAAGAAAAAAAAAAATTTAATTAAATTCGAAAATCATTACATTTCTATATCAAATGAATAAACAAGCAAAAAAAAACATATATTAACAAATTAAATTCTATTCTAAGTTTACAGAAAGATTTCATCTATCTAATAATGCATGCATTATCATACTCTATTGCGTACCGATTGACATCTTCATAGATGGTGTCATCTATTCGACATATCAATGGTACGTTGTATTATTTGATACTACATACAATATTAGATAGAGAATATCAATCTTGCTCTAGTCTATGATCACATGGATATTCGTTTAGCTGATCTTCACCCTCATAAAAACTATTCCATTGTGTGATGTTATAACATCACACTGGGAACATCAGCTTTAATGTTACAGAAAAACTTATAGTTGCCCTTTCTTTAAATCATGTAAAACGAATAATATTTATTATTCATACAAATATTAACTAAAAGAATAATTACATCGAACTTGGAATATATAATTTAGTTTTACATCTTGTTCCTATCTGTTTTCACAACCTTGAATTGAAAAGAAGCATAATAATAAGAAAATTATGGTATCAATAAAAGTCAAGGAAATAATCAATGCGCTCTATCACTCTACAATAGAAAAGGGCAACAGTTTCTTCATCTGAAGATGTGTGGAGAAATAATGAATTCTTCATAGATTGTATCAAAATTATTATGTCTAACAAGAAAAAAAGTACAAATTAGTTGTTTTTATAATGAATTACAAACTCATATCGTATTTGCACAAAAAATGTGAATACTAAATTCTTTTTGAATGTATTATTCTTCAAAATATGAAATGTAACAGAAGTATTTGAGTTATGTTGATTTGGAGTCGATTCATAACATCATACAGAATTGTTTAATTCTTAACACATCTAAACAATAAAATATTTTCATTTCTCAACTTTCTCCAATAAAGAACAAGGTTGTATAAACTATTTGAAAATTTATGAGTTTTTTCATTGCAAAACTTTATACTGAGTATTTTGGTAAAAACTTTCGAAACGTTAGAACGTCATCGTCTGAGAATCAATTTTTTTAAAAAGTAATTTCTGCAGCTTATTGATTTTTGTCAGTATGAACAATATTTTGCTTCCATCATCATTGCGACCTGTCAATTTCCCGAGTTAGAAAAACAAACTTTCTTGTGATAATAGAATCTAATTAACGCAATACACATTGTTACAGGTCACAAATAACGAGATCTTTCTAAGATAGAAACATACTTGATGAAATTCTGTCGTGTATTAATTAAAAGACTTCGTCATCTTTGTGCTTATTTAGAGAAATTCAAAAATGTTTGTATCACAAAACAGCACATTCATAATTGAAGAAAACATTTCTTCATCTATACAGATTTGTTCTGAAGTCTAAGAATGTATTATTTTTTTTTCTCAAAAAGGTCTAAAGGCATTTTTCGAAACACTAAATGTATAGCCTCTCCTTGTCAACATGAGGCATCTTATTAATAATTTTCGAAAGTATTGACACATTCATGTTAGATTGTTCTCATCGAATAAAAAATTCAATTTTGTATTGATTTTTATACGACTTCATCTATTGAAAAAAACAAGTATCGATGTCTTTTATTTTAATATTTCATTGACGACCAATGGTATGTTAGTTAAACAATCGGTTCTGTTCAATAGTTTGTCAATAGAATGAGATGTATAAAATTGCGTTACTATTGATCTTTATATGTCAATCGATAGTGCTTTTCAAAGGCTACATAGTCATATGCTTACAAAACTTAAAAAATGTTGATCAGTTAAGAAATTTTATGTTTAAAATATGATTCAATATCTTTTTCACATAATGTTTTGATAGATTTAATTAAAAAAAAAATCTAGGGATTGTGTCAAAATTGACATGAAATTAATATCGAAAACTGAGTTAATTTATGTACATTATAAATTTTCTTTTTTTCGAATCGAAAAATTTACCTGTGAGTCTCGTAAGAACGAAGTCAACAAAAATATTTCATTAAAAAATCATTTCTACAGTGTGAAACAATTTCTAATGTTATAAGATAATTGAAAAAAAAAATACAAAATGGTTAATTTCCGAACAATAAATACTGATTTTTAAGTGTTTTTTAAATCGATCCTGAGGGGAACCCGGAGTATATTTTTTGCTATTGATTTCAAATTTCACGTTTGTTTTGGCACAATCTCTAGATTTTTTTTTTTTTGAATCAAATCTAACTTCTTAAATGGCCAATATTTTTTGAGTTTCGTAAACATACATGTTTGTAGCCTTTGAAAAGCGCTATCAATTGACATATAAATATTAAAAATAAGTTAATTACATGCGTTACTTTCTATTGACAAACTAATGATCAGAACTGATTGTTTAAACTAACATACCATTGGTCATCAATGAAATGATAAACACAAGAGACATGAATATTGTTATGAAATCTTATAGGAATTGAATATTCTATTCGATGAAAATGATTCGAAATGAAAGAGAATTATTACTATCGAAATTAATTAATAAGATACCTTAGAATTTCGAAGATCATATTAACAATGAAAAACTTAAGTTGATATATTTTTTTTCGATCTTAATTATTTGAGATACGATTAAAAATTACTATTGAACCACTCAACATAAAACTTTGTATTGAAAAATAGATGAATTTTTTTTTTAACAGTTCAAGAATAGGTTGATTTGCTGGCTTATACGGCCTCGTCCTTTAACAAGAAGAGAAAAAAAGCCAATTTCGATGTAACGAAAAAAAATTCTTATAACAACAACTTTAGGGTTTCTTTTTCAAAAGTTTTTCTTTTTTGTCAAAATAATTTTTCATCTCACTGTCTAAAGACAAAACAACATCCAAAAAGAAAAAAGAAAAACAATATATCTACTTTGATTTATTAACTAAATTAAATGGAACTCGTCAAGTATCTATTAACCTTGATTCATTTTATATATTGCTATTCTAAAAACAAAACAAAAAAAGGTAGTATAGGCAACAATGTTGAAAATCACCCAAAAATATATCTTTTCGTTCACTTCTTATTTCTTCAATAAGCATTTGTTGATTTTTGAAAGAAAGCATATATATATATATATATATATATATAGGCACTTCACATTCAGTTTAAAACATTTTCTTTTCTTGTTTGAAGAAATTTTTATATAAAAAGAGAAGAAATTATGTTACTAAATGCTACTGCTCAACATCGTGTTAAACATTTTGATCTTTTATTAGCACGTAAATTAGCATTCATTGAACGTGAACATGAACAAAATATAATAATACATAAAAATCTTGAAAATTCTATTCGTCGTGATACAAATCGTAAGAAAACTACATTATCATTTGATGAAATTTATCATGAACCACATCAAACATTGAATTATTATAAAATGAATTTTTCAAAAAATAATTATTTAAATGATAAATCTTCTTCTTCTGTTGTTAGTAGTAATCAAAGTCAAGACGATGAAATAATACTTCAAACGTCATCAAAATATCAACGGCAATGTTCAAAACATCAACGTTTACCTCCTATAATAAAAGCAAGTCTATTAAATCGACAAAAACAATCAACTGATGAATTACATTGGATACATCATTTAAGACAAACAAATAAACGTAAAGAAAGTTTTAATGAAACATATTTAGAACTTAAT